AAAAAAAAAGTGAGGGCGTTGCATGCGCTAGAAGACCTAGAACCACTTTTTAAAATTTTCGATACATTTGTCTGTAGGAAAGTACCGGGAGAAATTACAGACAAATACATGGAAAACCTAAAGCAATCCTCTGGAGAAATTTAAGGGCGGGTACGCCCCCCAAATTTTTTAGTACAATCCTTTGCTTTGTAGCTTTAGTTTACAATTGATATTTTTTTTCAGAACAGCCGAATTACGGAAATTTTTCGACATCAGATTCTCATATAAACACTGTAATTTCTCACACGTTTGCCTACTCGTGAATATGGCGTCGAAAACCGTGACAAGGTCTATTAGAGCTTACCCCATGAGAGGCTAGTGTACCCTCCAAATATGTACTTCCCTCCGACTCTTATGATTGTTACAGTTGGTCCTTTGTTGTCACATCCGCTGTGAAAAGTACTGGCAGCCCAGCCATCCACGGACGCCCGCCAACAGCGCTTCCATTTTGAAGATTCGCTTTGGGCGACTGGTTTGAGCCATGCGCTTAAATTAGCTAAGTGATGCTCATTATCTCTTAAGATAACTGAGTCATTCAGTCCTTTTGCGAAAACTGATATACAGGAAGAGAAAAGAAAAGGTGATTCAGGTAACATATTTTTTCGAAACTGATATCACTTAAAATAATTTAAACACTTATTACGCTGAAGCATCTATATAGATATATCAAAATGTTCGATAAACATAAATGAACAGCTGATAAAATGAAATAGCGTAAATAGAATACGTTAATTACAATTATTCATTCAAAATACTTCGCCGCTTCTGATTGGCTCAAAGTCCCTAATCAACTAGCGTTTACGATATTTGGAGGATGGAGCAATATGCCATCAAATCGATGGTAAATTGCTCGCGTGTTCTTAATATGGTATCGATCAACTTCGTTTCCTGGCGCGGCCGAGTAGCTGATTATTCAACAGTAAATTCTGAAAAAAAGGCGTTCACGACCATCCGGAATAGTTGAATTTTAAACTAAAACTAAACGGAAGAATTGCAAGAATACGCAAAACAAATCGCTCGATGGGGAGCACTGCAAGGAAAAACTGTGCCGGGAAATAAGCGAAAGGTTTGAATAAAGTCTTCGATGAGGAAAAGTTGTTAAATAAGAATAAAGAAATATTTTGCATGAAAAATAAGACAATGAATGAATTAGGCTTTCGTATAATGTGAAGAATTATACAGATCTCGGAGGATGCTATTCACCTCAACATCTTCCTCCATCTGCAAAATTCTTCATCCTACTCAGTCTCACTCAACAATTGAGTAATTACTTCTTAAAAGAAGTAATATATATTTAGAAAAATAAGTACGTTATTTGTGAAAAAAAATGTAGACATAAATTCAATTATAGAATTAATGTACGCCGTATGCATAAATAAGTATGAATAATGTAACGTCCTAGATCCTTATTCAAATCTAATCCTTACAATGAGCTAGATGATTTAAATTTACGCCATTTGCACTTTGGACGGAAGTGAGGTAGTGCATGATCTTAAGCGGCGGCTCATGATACAGAGTTATTTAAAAGTCAAAAATGCTAGTTTCAGGCATTTTCCTTTTGCTGACTGGTTTGGGAGACCTAAGTCTAAATTCGCTCCAAAATCATTGGTGAAAACGCCGTGACAAGAGTACATGGAAGTTGCTCGCTCCGTGTTATAGGCTCTAGCAAAAGCAGAACATGAGGTATGACGTCAATGCTGGATACGAAAACTTACCGGCGGATTCAGCGGATTGCCGATCTCATTAGACACAATTTTGAATACTATGATGTCGCGCGTCCTTAGGAAACTTCCATAATTGATGTTATAACAGTAAAGGGTAACTGACCTTTAGATTAGCTAATTATATTTTCTCCTACCTCCGCAAGTTTTTCCATCGCCGTAGTATCCTGCCTTGCAGGTGCAGATATACGATCCACGAGTATTGGAGCAGTTGGCATTGATGTCACATATAGAAGAAGAAGCACTGCATTCGTCAATGTCTAGAAAAACAAAAATATTGGAGTTCCCCAAGGATCTATCGTAGGCTCCTTGGTAACAAAATAAAATCAAATAATAATGAAAAGTAATAATAATGAAAATATTCAATCTTGTTCAATTTCCGTTGAAAACAGTCTGAATTTCCTCAACAGGGAACAAAAACGTCTTAGAGTTTTCTTCTTCTTCGCCATCGAGTTGTCCACGCCTGAACTCATCAACATTTTTTACAGATCTCTCATAATTCTTCTAAAGCAGAGTTTATCTATATAGGCTGTTCCAAAAACCTTGGGTTACCCGGTGCTGTTGCTTCATAATTTTGTTTTTGTTTTTCCACTGGTCTAGATGGGCTACTAAGTAATCACAGCATTACTTTTCGCGGTTAAATAACAGACTTGAAACGTTTTAATTCTTAATACGCGGCCTTTTAAAGAATTTGTATACACTGACATTTATCCAAAAAGTTTTTAATAACAGAAGTATAACCCGCGGAATGATCTCATTCACTGCCCGTATATAAACGGCCTGGATTCGATGGATTGACGATTTTTACTGGTTGTCACAAGTCCCTGGAAATCTGCCCTCTTCGTTGTTATCACAGTAAATCGACATTTATCCTACCTTGGCACGTTTTCCCGTCGCCTGTATATCCTGACTTGCAGGTACAGATATACGATCCACGAGTATTGGAGCAGTTTGCATTGATGTCACATACAGGAAGAGAAGCATTGCACTCGTCAATGTCTAGAACAACAAACATATTGATTGATGAAAAAATTATTGAAGGGTATTAACTAAGGCCCTAACATGTGACGCGAGCAGTACTCATTCCTTCTTGACAAGAGTATTTTTTCCCTTAAAAATTCTCTCTTTTTTTCCATGTCTTATCAGTTTAAATCTCCCGGTTGCTGTTGCTTCATAATTTCTTTCTACTGGGCTAGGTGGGCTACTAAGTAATCTCAGTTTTACTTTTTGCGGTTAAATAACGGACTTCAAACGTTTTTATTCTTGCGCGGCCTTTTGAAGAATTTGTATACACTTACATTACTCACATTTACCCAAAAAGTAGCCTGAGAAAACAATGGACATTTGGCGACGCCACCACCGGTTTTTCTGCCAAATTACGTCTGAGAAACGAGCGCAGAAATTCCATACTTATGACGTCACCACCCAGATCTGGGAAGTGCTTCTGATTAGTTGACTAAAATTTCCCATGCTGCACGACCAATCAGAACCCGGATCTGGGCAATGACGCGTGATCAGTATGGAATGTCTGCGCTCGTTCCTCAGACGTCATTTGGCGGGGAAATCAGTGGTAGCGTCGCCAAAGGTCGGCTGTTTTCTCAGGCTACCCAAAAAAGTTGCTAATAACAGGCGTGTAACCCGAGGCATGATGTGATGCACTGCCCGTATATAAACGGATAGGATTCGATGGATTACCGATTTTTTACTGGTCGTCACAAGTCCCTGAGAATCTGCCATCTTCGTTGTTATCACAGTAAATCGACCTTTATCTTAATTACCTTGGCAAGTTTTTCCTTCGCCTGTATATCCTGTCCTGCAGGTACAGATGTACGATCCACGAGTATTGGAGCAGTTGGCATTTAAGTCACATACAGGAGAAGAAGCACTGCATTCGTCAAAGTCTAGAACAGCGAACATATTAATTGATGAAAAAAATATTGAGGGGCATTTACTCAGGCCCTAACATGAGACGCGAGGAGCACTCATTCCTTCGTGACACGAGTCTCTTTTCTCTTTTTTTCTCCGTATCACCAGTTTAAATCTCCCGCTTGCTGTTGCTTCATAATTTTTTTTTCTTTTTCTACTTGGTTTGGTGGGCATTACATGACGGCATTACATTTCTTGGCTAAATAACAGACATTAAACGTTTTAATTCTTGCGCGCCCTTTTAAAGAATTTCTATACACTTACATTTATCCAGAAAGTTTCTAATAACAGAAGTATAACCCCAGGCATGATGTCATGCACTGCCCGTATATAAAAGGACTCGATTCGATGGATTGCCGATTTTTACTGGTCGTCACAAGTCCCCAGAAGTCTGCCCTCTTCGTTGTTATCACAGTAAATCGACATTTATCCTACCTTGGCAAGTTTTTCCATCGCCTGTATATCCTGTCCTGCATGTACAGATATACGATCCACGAGTATTGGAGCAGTTTGCATTGATGTCACATACAGGAGAAGAAGCACCGCATTCGTCAATGTCTAGAACAGCGAACATATCGATTGACGAAAAAATTATTGATGGGCATTTACTCAGGCCCTAACATGTGACGCGAAGAGTACCCATTCTTTCGTGATTCCATGAGTCTTTTTTCCTCTTAAAATTTTTTTTTTCTCCGTGTCTTATCAGTTTAAATCTACCGGTTAATTTTTCATCAGTCACCGCATCTGTGACTAAATATGAAACATTTACGTCAGTCGTCTAATAATTAATCATAAATTAACTTATCAGAGGGCACAATCAGCTAAACGGTAGTCGCCAATTGTATAACTGACTAAACTCACCGTTGGTCTCCATATTGCAATAGGCCAGAAGAGATGTACCAGATTTTATAGTGGAAAACCAGTATTTCCCGCTAACAGCGTGTCCTTCACTCCTCTTTATTTCGTCACAAGTCTCAGCTGGTAGTTCTTGAATCGAACCAAGGGGAACTGAAAGGTTAAAAAACAATTCTTTATTATCAGTTTGCCTTTACCCCCGCATAGTTTTTAATTTATGCACGGGGCGCTACTCAGCAACGTTTTATGCAGGGAGGTTCCTCCCCGAGGTCCAACCCTTTACCCTTTTATATAACGTTTTGGAAAAAAAAGGTACCCCTTTCGTATACCTTCCATTCACGAATGCTACCTATTGAACATACCTAGCTAGTTCAGAACTACCGTAAAATCCTACGTTAAAGCCCTGGGTTTATATAACTTCATAAGGGGTTTTGGGTGAACTTATAAACGAGGCGTGGC